CAGCCAGTGAACACAGTTGCTGGGTGATGGTGGCAAATGGAATTTTGTTACTTCCACAGTATACTTCTAATACACATTAATGTAGATATCGCAGAACACAGTTGTGGACGCTTTGGGTACAAAACCAGTGGGTTTTTATTGGCATCCTCAAGTGAGACCTCAAGAAATTACTGTTCACTTAACAGTGTATTTTGTTCCATACACACACAGGCTGATAGTTTTACTTCTCTGATTTGGATTTCTAGTGAGATAAGGATTGCATATGAGCCTGTCTATCTTAATTTCAAATACTGGTTTTAGAACATAGTCTGATACCTAACAGCACACCAGTAAAGGTCATCTTTACTCTGGTGTCATTAGTGGAAGCTTTCAGTTTCTGTTCACTGGACTGCCACAGTAAAAACAATTTGAGTACGAGTGAATTTTGATAAACTTAAGGAAAGTGATCCACTACTAATACGAGTTTCATGAACCATTCAAGTTCATGAACATCAGCACTCTGATACTACTGATGTATTCTGCTAATGTCTGAAATAGCTGTTCATTTAAAACTTATAATTCAGAAAAGGTGACTCTCTTTTGCATTGGCGTTTTGGAAGCAGATAAATCCTGTTACACTTGCCATACTGTACATGCCATGTGTTTATTCAGCTGATTTGTTGAGTGCTTAGTCCAGTTCCCCTAGCAGATAGAAACATTTGCATTCTGTCAGCTCTTGAGAGAGCTTGTGGTGTTCTGTTCATCCTGAGTTTCTTGAAAATAATTTAGTTTGCGATCTTTCTACATAAGCTTCATAGACAGAAATACTGCTTCCCTCAAGTTTTTTGTGAACCTTATATTTACATTAACAGTACTTTATGTCTTCAGGAAAGTACAAAAAAGTGAAAAATTGAGTTCTGTCACTATTAATGCCATTATTCCTGTATGGCAAATATACTTCTAAATTTATTTTGGAGAGAAGATAATTTTCAGACTTGAAATATCTAAGTTCTGCTACTTCAGTAATACCCATTGATTTCATGTATATAATTTCAGGGGGGTTGCATAACATCAAGGTTGAGTAATAAGAGATGAAAAACTTCCACTAAAACTATCATTCACCCATCCTTGCCAAAATTAATGCTCAAAGAGGGCAAATTCTTTGCAAATTCTGCTCCATTCAAATTTTTCTGTTTTCCAGCAATTCATGTATCCTTGTGAGCTTAATCATAAACATATCCAAGCCTGAAATTGCGACAATTGAAAGTTGAAGAGGCCAGGTATGGAACCCCAGTGACAGAGTAACAAAAATGGAAGTAATTCTGGCAATGTAAACAATAGAATTTTGCACATATTTAAAAGGCAGTAGTGTTTAACAATGTTCATGCCAATGCTGATCTTTTATCAGCCATGAGACAAGAACAGTCTGAATTGTAAGGCAGAAGCAAAGGCAGTTGTTTCTCTTTCCTTGGTGGAAGGTTATAACAGCTGACAGTAAAAGAGAGTGGGGAATAAAAGACAATAAATATTCAGGTTGTTGAACTTTGTTTAAGAAATAGTTTGTGTACCAGGAATAGGTTTGATTTCATGTTATTTAGCCAGAATAATTACTAAGTTCCTTAATGAATGTAAACAATTTTATATGACATTGAGCTCTTTTGTAAATAATATGCTATATGAAATTCTGTATGCAAATAAGAAATTATTTTAATAACATTAAATGATTAAGTATTTGAAGAGCATTCTGTTGACATCACCAGTGTTTGATCATCTTGCAACTTGCAGCTTTCAAACAGCAATAGGTAATATGCACTGTTAGACTTAACACACCATTCTGAGCGTCCCTGAATGTATTTTGGTTTGGTATAATAATCAGCCCACTGCAGAATTTACTTTATCATGTGTTCAACTTGCTATGTTCCAGCCTATGTTATAAGAAGGATTTAAAAAATAGATTCTTTGAAGTAGATACAATGGAAACACTATAGTTCAGAGATATCTTCGGGCTACTAACAGAATTCAAGGAGACATGGTTGGAAAACTGTCCCAGGTATTTTTTCGTGATTTGGAAATTCAGTCTTTCATTTATGATACAGAAGTATGTCTTCTGAAAGAGAAAAAAGCAATTCTGCTAATTCACAGGTTTTTTCCTCTCCCTAGGAGGAATGTCTGTGGGAGGAAGAGTAATCTTGTCTTACAAATCAGAGGTGCAGTTCACAAAGCAAAAATGCCCTTTGGAATATCTAGGAAAATGAAAGGCACTACAAAATGTACAAATTAACACTTTTACTCTTGTTTGAAGTGTTAGTGTCAGCCTCTCATCTTCACTTATGCTATCTAAACACCACCATTATGTTTTTAATCTCATAAACTGACATGTATAGATGCATGTATGTGTCTATACACAACCACTCAACAATGTTCTCATATCCTTGTTTGCTGCTACTCTCAGATTGGAGTGGATGCATTAACCACAGGTAGAGTAATACCTGTGTCAGCAACAGCCTTGCCATTCCTTCTTTTGAAGTGGCAAAAGATGACTCTTGTAGTTGGTTACTTGCAGATCTGCTGGAACTGAGCAAATTGTTTGCTCCGTTAGAACTTCCAACTCTTCGTTGAAACTCTTTTGCATCTTCTTAAAAAATTTGGTGCAGGTTTCTAAATAATATCAGTAGGTTTTGTTGTCTGCATGAATCCATCTGAGAGCTTGTTCAGATAAAACTACAGTAGTTCTGTTCTCTCTAGGCTCGTGAGTAAGGCTACTCAAGCAGTGGTTTCTCCTTGAACGTTTTTCATAAGAAGTAGGCTAAGAAAATGAAAATTTCTACAAATATGGGTAGATCGAGGTTTCTTGTTTAATAGGAAGTTTAGTACTCCTGCAGATGACAGAAGAGTGACTGTGATGGGTCAGACTGAAGGTGAGTGTAGCCCAGTATTGTCTCCATCAGAGGTCAAAAGTGAGTGCTCAGAGAGGAATATAAGAACAAGACATGTAGTATTTTTCCTCTGAGTCCTTTCTGAGCCTCCAAATCCATGTTGCCCAAACTTTTTGAACAACAATTTTACTTTATTATAGATACTCTCTGCTAGCCCAAATAACAGAACGTATTCAGTAAATGCCAATGATATTTTGTCAGGAAAACAAGGTCTTTCTTTAGGAATTGTTAAGGAATTAGATATCTTTGAAGTTTTGTGATTTAAAAAATGAATGAGTAACAGAATGAGTAACTCAAGTAGTTTAAGGAGAACCACCATTTGCTTGATGAATTTCCCAGATCTTCAACATGAAGAAGAAGGTAGGTCAAGACAGGTCCTGTTGGGAGACAGATAAAATAAGCTGCTTTGTATTTCAGGAAGTGCTGCGGGAGCTGCAAGAGACATCATCTAATTGATAGTCTGAAGAAATAACAGGATTTTGCTGACCTCATTTGTACTTAATTTGTAACTGTTAGGGAAAACCCTGATTCTGTTTTAGAAGTTTCTCTGGGCCTGTCTTCTATTAATGCAGTTATCTCTATCAGACAAATTTGAGGGTAGTCTTCAAAGCATAACAAAAGTGATGTGCCATAGGACATGTCTGACTTCTCATCCTTGGTGGCAAGAACATACTGTGTTAGTATTTCTAAGTGCCATTAACTCAACAGATCTGCTTGAGGAATACTTCTGTCTGGATCCGATTTATGAACTTGAAAAGGTACTTGGTTAAGAACTATGCTATCGGGGTTTTTCTTTCTGGAAGAAAGACGAGAAAACTATTTACGATTCTCATTCTATACTCAAATTCACACCTAGCTGGTCCTCTCTCTCCTCAATCTGCTAAAATCACAGGCTTGAAATGAAAAGTGTTTGGTATAAATAAAGCTTGTAGCACAAATTAAAATAGGAGGAAAGAGATCGGTCGTGTTTAAGTAATGACTGCGTGTCTGGAGAGGTTTAACAAGACTACAAGCAGAGATCATCAGGTCTTGGCAATAGTAGTCAGAAGGTCAGTCTTAACTGTGAGACACTATCTAGACACAGATAACCTCCAGAACATGTCCAGATTTGGCAATTTTACCAAAGTACTCAGATAACGTAATACATATTTAAACCACTCAAACATTTCCTTCTTTCTTGTGTCTGTGATATTAAACAGCTCCCACCCACTTGACGTTGTAGATTGAGTGATTCAGATCTATTGGCTCTTGGTAGTGGAAAAATCTGCCTTGAGGTCAGTTGTGGTTCATACCACAAGCAGCCATCCATTCTTCACTCTGCCTAACTTCAGTCTGCTTTTGTAAATGGACGCAATATCCTTGCTTTCAGCTGCATTTGGTTAAGGATCTGCATAGAGTCATATGGAAAGTATAAGGACCTCTGAATGCTCTGTGCATGCAGGAGCCTGTCTGTGAAAGCTGGCCCCTGTTGGGCCCAAGAAGAAAGTGAAGGAGGTGGCTGTGACTCAAAAGCCAGAAATACTGGAAAATACTGAAAGAGAGCCTAGAGGAGTCCATTGCTGCCACACTGATGGTAATCCTTGTGAACACCTTCCAGCCTGGTGGAAAGCAGCAAATTGTGACAGCCCAGAAAATGCTTAAGGCTTGTCAGAATTTTCAGTTCTGCTGTGTCCCTGAACATCTTTCCTGAAACTGGAGGAGGGTTTTTTTCCTGCCCCCACCCTCCCCATCCCGCCCCGGGATTGTTTCCTGTACACAACAATCAGATTTTAGTGATTGCAACTTTTTCTTTTCTGATTTACAAGCCCACATGAGGCCTTTTGGATTCATTATGCGTGAGCCAGTCTGTGTCTGGGGATGAATAATGTCCCATCTTACTTTCTTTTTCCCTTGCACTGAACAGTTTTGTTTTTTAACAGAAATGCCTTTTTCCTTTTGAGAACTATCAGAAATATGTTCCTTTAAGAACCTCCTACATGGTATGTATTTGCCATTTGTAAACACAGTATGTCAAAGAATGATTTGATTCAGTGGTGAGGCAGCCAGATATTTGCATGTCATGAGGTCTAAGGGAAACAAACTGACCCTCAGCCTTCCCCCATCCAGGCAAATTCTGATGGGACCCTCAAATAGCTCTGGCAAAGTGTTCTGTTTCTTTTGGACTTGATGGATGCTTGTTTCTGTGAAGACGTGTAATTACTTCTTCCTGTATTTTGCTGCGCCAGTTACTGAGAGAAGCAGCTTAAAACTATATGTGAGTATTGAGGCTTTTTTCCATTATTCCTTTATCTGATAAGTTTTAAACTTGTTAGTATAGAAGGTACTTAATTTAATATTTTGAGCAAGAATGCAGGAAGTTTTTCTGAAAAACTGCTGAATAAATTAGATGCAGACTTCCCCATATATATTATGTTTTTAATTTTGTGTACCTAAAGAGATAGAGTTTTTAAAAAATTTAATTTTTTTTTATTACTTCTTTTCATTGTATTAATTGGCTCACTCATTAATTTGCAGAAAGATTGTCTGGGGTCTCCTTTGTAAAGAGATGAGGATGAGTTTTATTTACTACAAAGTACCATCCAACAAAATATGAGTATGCTTTTTCCCATTACATTTTTATGTCCTAGCAAGATTTCATTTGCTTTTGCAAAAAAAGAAATTCTAGATAGTGTCTTTTCTGTTAAGTCACTTGTTTCTAGAATGAGTACTTTTAGCACCTAATGTGGATTTTCTTGATTTTGGAAGTAAAACAGTTTCCAAGCTGGCTTTTATAAGGAGTCAAAATATTGCTATAAACAACAAGTATCATCTCCAAATTCTCCATCCATGAGACATTTTGTGTTATCTTTCTTTATTTTTAGGATCATACTTTTTTTAGAATTTACATTTAGAAATTAAGTTTCAGATGCCTTTTTTTTTTTTGTTTGTTTGTTTGTGTTAATATTTTTGTTCTCTTTGTGCAACAAGTTTTTATTTGTACAGTAACAGAACAAACTGCAGTGGATTTGATATATTAACATTATTGCTGATGGCCATCCCTTGTAATTTTAAATCAGGATCAGGAAAATCACTTTGACTCAAGGGTGTTTATTTTGTAGAATATTGAGATGATACTAACGAACTTGCAGGATTAGAGAAAAAATGAATTCAGAAGCTGTTTGAAAGAGATTCTGATGTATGGTTTCTCCAAATTATTTGCCGGCAGTCATGATTTATAAAGCATGGATTTTTTGGTTGACATGGTAAGACGCGTGTTCTGTCGTCTCCGTACCCATAATCCCAACTTTTTTCATTTCCCTACCAGAGTTTTATTTCTTGAAAGAATAGTTAAAAACTTTTAGTATTGCCAACCATGGAGAGACAGAAAGAAATATTTTAACCAGCATGCTTCCAAACATCAAGCCCAAAATCAGAGGGTGAAATTCCAAACCTGTTGGAAGGAGCAGCCCTCCTGCCGACCCAAGCTCTAGGTGTTGTCAAGGATTTCAGATTGCCTGGAGAGTAAATCCAAGCGGAGTTTTACATTTCCCTGCCAATTTAGGGTAAATTATGCTCATAAATTAATCATTTCTAGTTCAACTGTCCTGTTAAAATCTCTAGAGCCCTAAGTTTGGAAGTTGGCGTGCTGAAATGCTGCTAATGCTCCACTTGGGCTGCTGCATCTGAATTCTTTCTTTTGGGAACAGGGCATGCAGCTCTTATGAGAAAGGAGGCTGTGAGCTCCTTGTTTCATACATTTGTGTTTTCCTGTAAAATGCCAGAGGGATCAAGTAAGGACATTTGTGTGGAAATATGCAAACATGACTCCAAGAAAACAAGTTAATAAAACCCCATGACAGAAATTCTGTAGCAGAGATAAAGGGAAGGACAAGACTCACAAAGAGAAGCTACACTGCCTTAGTTCCTTCATAATGATGGCTAATTTTAATTTCTTCTAGAAGTCACCCTGGAGAGGAATTTGTATCTGTCCTTTAGCTTAAAAAGTGCTTTACTCATTAGCTTCACCAGGTTTAAGCTAGTTTTTGTGAATATGCCCATTCTTTGTTGCCATGTAGTACGTGTCAGTTATTGTCCCTTCTTGTTCGCCTTTCTTAAACTTGGGAAGTTTTTTTTATTCTACTTAATCAAGTAGCTAGTATGCTACTTTTCTTCCCAGCTATGGTTGCCTTTGAATTTGTTCAAGGTCCATATAAGAGGACTGGTTAATTCTTGCACGTCTGAATGTAGTGTGGGTAATGGATCTGCACAGGCTGTCCTAACTGGTCGCTGGCCTCACACTTGAGAGGCTTTCTCAGTCAGAAAAATATTCATATTCCTGTAATGTGTCTTTGTGCATAGGTAGCAGAATTAATAGCAAGAATGGCTAAATGACAGAGGATGGTGTAGTTGTTGTCCTAACATTTTGCATAAGAATGTTCATCATAACCTCAGAGTCACAAAGGACAACTGCAAAGTGCGCAACTGGAATATTTTATTGCTTTGGCTAAATTTGGAAGTGTTTTCTACCTCTAGCACTGGAGTTGACCAGTTGGCAACCTTTGCGCACTGCTTTTAACTATCCCATGCCAGTGCCATGGAAACAGCCTGATGAGCAGACCCATCTCATGGCAAAGGTGCAGTGAGTGGCTTCTTTTGTTCCCACTCCCAAAGGTTTGCTCTCTGACCTTGAGGAAGTCAATTATTTTGCTTTGACAAGTATTAATCTTTTCTGTAGACAAGTAACTCACAAATGTGTTTTAGGATTACTTTATTACTGTTGTTAGAAAAGCATTCTGAAACCTTTGAAAGGACGGCTGTAAAATATCTCAGCGGTTTACGTTTAATTCTACTTATCAGAAACCCATAACAATATTAGGCTTAACCTTGCTTATCAAGCTGTCTTTCTCAAGTGAGCTCTTCAGTTTTCAAATTCAGCCACATCATGATTCATTTATGTACTAAAACATGCAAATCTGTGGCATAATTAGAGTTCAAAAATCTAACTTGCACAGGAAAAATATTTAGAGTAAAAACTATTTCATGGTGATCTTCCAATTGGCAATCTTTGTTTAGTTTAGTCCTTGAAAGTTGAAGAGCCTTGAGAAATATTTCAAATTAAAAACTCAGTTTGGGTTTGTTGGATTTTTTAAAAATACAGTAGCAGAATTCTTAATTTGTTTGATCACTTGTTTAGAATTTTTACTAAAAACTTTTAATAAATTTTACATAAATTAGCAGAAATGCTTTGGATTGTATTTGTTCCTCGGTGCAGTTTCTGCCACTGTGTTCCACTCTTCCCCTCCTCAGACAAACATTTTTCATCACAGCTAATCAGAGTTATGGTCTCTGAACACCATCCTCTACCAAAACTAGTCAAATCCATTTGAGTTTTGCAAAGATGGTTGCTGCTACATTCTTCACATCGTCACTAGAATAAGTCCACATCAACCAGACTCTACTGGTATCAGTGGGCTCACTGTTCCACAATATCCCTTGAGTTAAATTATGTGTTCTTAAATTGTTCCTCAATGTTAGAAAGGAATTTCTTCATTCTTATCAAATTTCCTCCAGGATTTTAAGATTTAGTGGTGGGTTTTATTTGTCTGGAGCAAATGTTGACTGTCTTGGGTGTTCAGATAAACATTAGCTTAATTTTTCTTCAATCAGATAAGGTCAATCCTACACTGGAACCGATTTTTAGATAGTGTGTATTTATAATCATAGGAAGAAATTCACTCTGAAGTCATGGTGCCAAAAACAAATCAACAACAACAAAAAAGACTTTTTCACATATCAGGACATTACAAAAATCCCAGTAGGGCTGTTACTGAAGGGTCAGTAACCTCACATCATAATAAAGAAAGACAGAATACCATGGTCTACTAATTTTAAATCATAGCCACTTCTAGACTATTTTAAGTAGAAAATGTTTAATGTGTGGTGCAGAGACTTTAAAGCTCGAGGGAAATGTTAGGATACCCAGTCGCATAATTGTTCTGCAGATTTTATCTCCCAAGAAGGCAGAACAGGTAATGTGAGAGTCACAAAGGCTTCAAGTAGGGGGCAAATGTCACTGGTGGGGACTCAGGGCTGAATCTCTGTAAGGACTGGTCATTGTTGCTGCCACAGGATGTGAGGATTCAAGCTAAAACTGAGTGAATGCTATGTTATCCCCTGTCTTGTTTGACAGCACATTATCTACTAAACTGCTCAAGACTCCAGAGGTCTTTAAGTACCATTTTTTGCCTGCTTAATAGATGATGCACATATTTAAAGAGCAAAAATAGGAAAACCACCAAAATTTTTGTCCTATATTTGTCCTAGTGACACTGTTATTTTTCCTCCCTGGTAGAGGACAAACAAAAAGCCAAAGACCTCCACTCACCACTCTTTTTTCCACCAGCCCCACTCCTAAAAGTGTTCTCCTAAAAACGTTCACTGCCTTCAAAATTGCTTTTGTGAGACCACTTCTAAAACTATTTTTACATTGTGAGTCCATATATCCTTTGACTGTGCTAGAATGAAATGTGCTGGATAACTATCAACAGTGAATATAGGACATGATGTAAAGGAATGTGTATATCTGAATATTTAATCTTTTTTTCTCCCCAGCCCAAAAGCCAGCAACCTGTCCCTGATGCACCCACGTAGATAATCTAATAAGGCTTTCCTGTCCACAGTGTGTTTAAGGCACCCAGGGCAGGAAATAAAAGCAAAAAGCCACCCTGCTATAATTCTACACCACTGGTGGTATGCACACACAGCTGAATTGCACTAGTTTGTAACTGCAACTGTGGTGCAGATACTGACACTCCATAACAGAATGGTGCACAGTACTGCCCAATAGATAATAGCACACCAACTGCAGAATTAAACCCTAATCCATACAACATTAAATCGCCTAATTTGACATCCATGAGTTGAGATAAATTATTCAGCTACATTAATTTGCACACAGATGCCAGGGTTCCTAGTGATCTGTTTTAAGAGAAGACACAGCAGGTGGTCATGTAACACTTACAGGGAAGCAGAAGGAAGGGAAATAAGTCTGTTGAAGAGTACCCATAGCATATTTTCATGTTGGTTGTTTGTTATGAGCTCTCCTAGAAACCTTTCTCGCCATGTGTCTTAATTATATCATATAACCAATACATTCCTGTAAAAAAATGGTAGAATACAAAGAGTGACACTTCTTTCAGATTTTCTTTACCAGATTATATGCTTTGTGGTCTGTCTACCTAGGAGATGCAATATATGCATATGTATTATAATATG